AATTTAAAGAGATTCAAGAAATTATTCAATATCTTGAGTTGAGGGTCTATCGGAAACCACCTCTCACAAGGTAGGGGTAAGGTCTGACCTCCACAGACCCCACTTGTGCGATTACACTGGCTATGTTGTCCTAGTCAAGAAATATGTTATTTGATAAAAAATTCATGATTGGATGATTTAAAGGACATTGATCAAACAAAAAACAAAACACTTCTACTATTTTTTTTGGAGATTCAAGAAATTATACTATATTATCAAGTTTCATGACATGACAATGATCAAGAAAAAGCTTAGTCCCTCCTAATTCCATACCCCTACAAGACAAGAAAGACACAAATCCATAGCCCTCATAAAAAGTCAAGCTTCCACACCAAAAGTCAAGGCCTTTGATCAATTCTCAACAATTTGTTGATGGGACAGAATTCTCAATAACAACAGTAGCTCTAACAAATTGAGTTCTCATTTCTCATAAAATATATACCAAGATCAAATTTTTAATCTCTTTTTTTAATTCTAAAAACAACCAAACAAAAACATCAAAACCAATAAACTTAAAAGAGGTAATAGCAAGAGATATCTCACCAGGACCTACTTCTCCTCTTTTCGCTTCAATCTCAGGTGAGTAATTTTTTTTTCACATTTACGTACGCTTAATGTTTTCAGTACAATGAAAAATACGAATTACTTACAATACTTTTGTCTATATGTATGTAACCAATTTTTTCTGTATTTTTTTCGGGTTTAATTGATGACCCATTTGATATATGTGTGTGTAGAGTGTGGTGTTGCAGTCAGAGTGGTAAAAATACAGGGGCGAATGGAACAAATAGTTGTTAATGGCTCAGAGTCACAAGTTGTAGTGGATGATTCTAATTTGTTGCAAAAGAAAATATCTGCAATTCGAGTTGGGGGTCCTGGAAAGCTACAGGTGAATCTTACATTGTTGGTTTTGTTTTGTTTTGTTGGGTTGTGAATTATGTTGAGAGTAATGCATGATTTGGATTTAGTCCCAAAAGTTATGAGCTTTATGTGTTTGTTCATGTTACTTATTGGGTTGAATTTCTAATTTCTTGAGTATATGTACTCCCTTCGTCCCAATTTAACTGTCTTAGTTTCTAAGTTGCGTGGACTCTTCACTTTTGATGCTGCAACCGTGTCAGATTATCCAAAAATACACTACTTTTGGAGAATACGACACGCATTCACTTACATTTTTGAAGGGTCTAAGCAACATATTATAGTTTGACTGAACACGAAGTTTAAGAAATAAATGGAGACTTTTGAATATGGTGGTTTCAAATTAAAAATGAGTGTAGTCCTTTAAATCTTGTGGTCAACTTGACAGGTAGAATGATGGAATTGGAAAACTTACTATGTCTAGAAAGAGACACTCTTTTTGGGACAGACCAAAGAGGAAAGTAAGACACTTAAATTGGGACAGAGGGAGTACTTTTTTGGGAGTAGGGGATGAGGATGTGGAGTGTTGATTTTAAGACATTGTTGTATTGCTTGTTAATCTGATCAATGGAACTTTTGGCAACTGTATAATACACCATTTCTCCGTGAAGAGAGTTGTTATCTAGGGAGTAGTAATGTTGATCTTGGGTGTATATATGGAAAACTTCATCGATAACTTGTTATTTCATGGTTAAAGCTTCATTGGTTATCTTGTCTGTGAGGATGAGGTAGCTTTAACATTCTCATGCTTCTTGGATGTGATAGGTAAACTTGTAAGTGGTTAGTTGACCCTGTACTGACACATACTAATCCCTAGGTCCTTATATAAACTACGACAAAAATATGTATCTGAAGTGTTAGTTGCTTGCTGGTAGGATATACTTTTAGATGTCGAATCTAACTGATTGTATTTGTCTAAGTCATGGCATGCTTCCGGAAAAGTTCTGTTATCCAGGATCAACTATACACACCTTTCTGAAGTTTCTATCTGATGTTTAACTTCTTTTACGTGCTAAGGAGTCATTTGGTACGTGGGCTAAGGTGGTATCCTAGGATTAAGTTTAGGATTAGAATTATACTGAATTTTGTTGATGGTAGTAAAATTGAACCATTAGTTTAAAAAAGAAAATAAGAAAATAAAATTGTACCATCAACCAAACAATGTATAAATCAAATCCAAACTTAATCCTAGGTATCCCACCTTATCCCATCCAATTTGGTATTATTTTATCCCACTTCCCAGGTGGGATAAATTAGTCCAAGGATTATAATACTAGGACTATAACTTAGTTCGTGAACTGAACCACCCGTAAGATTTGGTTAATTAAGGGTACATGTGCCCAGCTCATTGTCTCTTGTACTTCCTGAACAGCTGCTTAGTTGCATCTGGAAAGCAGAGGTTAGATCTAATATCAAGTAAACACTTGAGTTTGAACTATATTACTGTTTGTCAACATGATCTTGGTCTAAGTTCATCTCAACCAAAGTAGAAACGATCATGATTATAGGTGATCTTAATAGAATGGGACTGAGAAACACGTGGAGGAGTTAGGGTGAAGGACATACAATTGTTAGTCCTGTTATTCCAGTCTGGTGCTATTTAAAGCTTTTCTCATGCGCTCGGTTAAAACCAACTAATGGATGTTGGGTCTACTTTTCAGTTCCATATGGTTTGAGATGATGCTATTATGTTAGGCTCCATGTTTTATTTGACCTATGTACAGAAATATTGACATTTATTAATGTAAAGTACAGGTCTTTGCTAGAACCTCGAACATTTCACACACATACCCATGCGTATTTTACCTTGTTCTAATTGGTTTTTACTTTTACTTACTGACTATTTCAACATTCTAGGTAATTGCAGATTTTGATGGCACATTGACAAAATATTGGATAGATGGTTGCCGAGGCCAAGGTATGTTATCCACTTCATACAACATTATCCTATTACAATAGCTTGTCTGGAACAGACAGCTATCAATAGTATTTGATATACGTTTCTTAGGTCACAAGTGAAGGACTTGTCAAAATAACGAATTTTGTAGGCAGTCATAATGTTGTACAACAGGAGGATCCTGAGTTCAATGACAAGAGGCAGAAATTATATGAGTATTATCATCCCTTAGAATTTGATCCAACAATTCCCCTTGATGAGAAAACCAAGCTCATGGAAGAGTGGTACGTGTTATGATTTTGTACTGCTAGAATCGGGTCCAGACTCGTGTTATATATTGCATTTTGAGTTATTGACAAGTGAAATAGATAATATGAAGTTCCGAGATAATATTTATATTTTATCGTAAGAGTAGTAGTATATCCAGCTCCCTTATATCAGCAAATGGGGACCATCATCGGATTGGTGAAATTTAAAGGGATTGTAGTACCATGGCCCATGTGTTAATGTCTAACTTGTTTTCTGCAGGTGGGGAAAAACACATGCTCTTCTCATTGAAGGAGGCGTTACATACAATGGAATTCAAAATTCCGTGGCTAAAGCCAGAATTGCATTCAGGGATGGTGTAACTGAACTTCTTGAACTTTTGGAGGTACAGTTAGCCACCATCAGTTGTTGTTTTCTGAGACATCTTGGGATGATGTTGATGAAGGCCAATGCAACAAATATGAACCATTGTGATTTCCTTGTGTGATCTAAATTATTGGAAAGAAATTTGATGGTATTAGTTTATCAAAAATCCAGAGTATGGATAATAGGGTCATTCCAAGCACTTAAGAACCTTAGAGGAAATGCCTTGATTATTTTCTTTTCTTCTGTTTTTGTTTATTCGACTTTTGAAAGTCCCTAGAATGTCAGGCTCAACCACAGCTCAAATGTTGTTTTAGAGAAAGTGAAATTGAACAGTGGTATTACTAAATGATGTGTTGGTTTCCATTTACTGTAGTTGCAGAATTCATGCTAATGCCAAATTTAGTAGTCAATTTATCCCAGAATAGGTCTTTTTAGAAGAATTTCCTTTTGACCTTCTACTATCTCACATGTGATTGCTTCAGTAATGAGCCGGGATTGTTTGGTATGCAGGAAAAAGGTGTTCCTGTTCTTATATTCTCTGCAGGTTTAGCTGACATAATAGAGGAGGTTAGTTCTTAAGGATTATCGGTGGTCTTGATGCATAACAGGTGTATGCGATCCCGTTATATTTGTCCAGTTTTGCTTTAGATATGATTCTCTCATCTTCTTGATCTGTCAGGTGCTGAAGCAGAAAGTTCATAGATCTTTCAAGAATGTTAGAGTTGTCTCCAACAGGATGGTGTTTGATGAAAATGGCCACCTACAGTCATTTAAAGGTATCACCTATCACCATTTAGAGGTGCTTTTTACTTACTTTAGAAAGTGCTTCAAGCAGTTTCCACTAATGGTTAGGTACATTGTATATGTGCATAGACTACCAAATTTTAGCTATTCCCCTAATGTTTAGGAATTGGCCTTCAATGGAGGAATACTCTGCTCTAATTATGCCTCCCTGGTGGAACAAGTCGATAAAGAGTTCTAATTTCGTACACAGACCCCCCCGCCCCGCTCCCCCCCTATTTTTTATGATAAGGTTAACTTTAAAAGCTAAAGTCTAACATACACACAAGATGTGTTGCAGTGATGCTAAGGTGGATGTTTCAGTCATACAAGATTAGATAAGATAGAAATGATGACATTGAAAGTAGCACACGTTGAGGATAAAATGAGAGAAGTTTGCCTGAGATGATTCGGTCATGTCATGCAACGACCTACAAATGCACCTGTCCATAGGTATGAAACTATAGTGAGTGAAGGTGTTAAAAGAGGACAAAGTAGACCTAACATAATATGGATGGATGTTGTCTAGAAAGCCCTAAGATTTCTTGGAATCAATACAGACTTGGCTAATGATAGGACATAATTGAAGAAAAAGATCCATATAAGCGGGTATCACCAGTTGAGAATAGGTTTTAGTTTTGTTAATACGTTGATTTTGAATCTATCTCTTTTTAGGAGTATTTTGACCTTTATCATAGATTAATATGCCACTAAAAATATAGAGAACTTTTAATATTGTCATCATTATCATTATTTTAAATATTCAACTAATTTTTCACTTTTGTAAAGCTTAAATGGAGAAACTGGTCAATGGTGATTCATATATCTGACCTCTACTTGTTTGGGATTGAGATGTAATTGTTATTGTTGTTACGCTTGGTAGGGATAAGTGTGAGATTTAGGGAGCCACTAGTTTGAGAGAGCTCCTAATTTGCCTTAAAAGACAAATCGCTTACCAGTATTGCAATGAAGTGTGCCCAAATACAGCATACTATACAGAAGAATTTAATCAACGTCCCCAAGTTATGATCTTTTGAGTTTTAAATTTTCAACTTATAAGGACTTAAAAAAATACAGTTAACCCTCCATAAATTTTGATATTTAAAAGGCTAACCGAAGTGCGGAAATCTAATACATGAAAACACCTGAACACTAAAACTCTACAAATTAAGACTTCTATATGTAATATAGATTAGTTTAGAACTGGAGTTCAAGCCCTGTAACAAAGTGATTAATATCTGATCATTGGTTGGACATATTTGACTAGTACTTACTAGATACTAAGCTTTTACACATATTTGGTCTATACTGGAACAGCGAGGCTCACAAGCAAAGCCAATTGCACATATATTTCTTGTATTGTGGTCATTTTTACATCTTTGTTTCTAAAATTAAGAACACTAACTGCTACCTGCAGGTAAGACAATCCATGTACTCAACAAGAATGAGCATGCACTTGACATGGCTGCACCACTTCATGATCACTGTGATGACGTGAAAGGACTGGGTGATGAGAAATATGCATTAAAAAAGAGAACTAATGTGCTACTTCTTGGTGACCACATTGGAGATTTGGGAATGTCTAACGGCTTAGACTATGAAACAAGAATATCTGTGGGTTTTCTGTAAGTATCTCATCATATTTCCTTATTCATCACATTTAAACAATACTGAGATATCATAGAACACGAACACTGCTCATAGAATAAAGTCATTTTTGTTTTGCTTTGTCTCACCTCAAGTTGGTCATGCGATATCCAAGGTAAATGGATTGTAATTATAATTGTTTTAAGTTGTAACTCCTTAGTTAGAGAAATTAAGTACCACATCCCATAATTGAAGTAGAAATTGTTCCACTATCGATTGGATTTGAAATCTTTTTCAGCTATAAGGCTTTGAGCCTTTGTAAGAAAAGTTTCCATAATTAGAGTTTCTCTTTTTGTTTTTTTTTTTCTTCAAATTTGATCATTAATGAGGGCAAGAATTACAGCTTTTGAGTTTGGCATCCCAAACTTTTACATGATCAAAGAATAGAGATACTATAAACAAGCTCTACTAATAAGTAACACCAAAAAAAAGTCCAAGTTATTGTGGAGGCTAACTGGACATGATATGCTATGATTAAGCTATGGAGGCGCATAGACCTCCATATTTAGAGTTGTTCAAAATTTTCAAGTCATGAACATTAAGATGAAATGAGTTGATAGTGATGGCATACAAAGTTGTATTGAAACTACAAACATTTATCCTGACTCGCTAAATGGATTGACAAGTACTAAAAGCTGAAGTAAAGGAAATTGCGACCGCAAGAAATACACTAGTGAGCATCTATTCTCTCTCAACCCACTTTTTTATCCTCTGAAATCTTGGAAGAGTTCTAGTTAGATGGTTGACGCATTGTCCTATGAATTGATATTCAATGGTTAGGAAATGACTTACCCCGTTGCATGTGGTGCTCCCCCCTAACTAGTCTGGGTAAGGAGAGAGTGAGGGTATATAGTACCAAGCCTTACCCTTTCTTTTTTACAAAGAGGTAGTTTTTACTCTTGGAATTCGTGGCTTACAAGTTACCGAAAGAGCAATTTTTGACTTCCTACCTCATATTTTTAATCTTTCATAGGTCAATAAGCTTCCAACATATTATTTTTCACTCTTTTGGAAACATATAAAAATTGTTAAATTATGGATTTTGTAGAGTTTGAGACTATTAGGAGGTTGTTCACTGATTGCCTGCTGAAGTTTGAATAGATATACCTTCCCAGAATCTTTTCCCAATGGTTTGACAAGATATTTTCTTGGGAAAATGCATAAGTACCCCCCAACCTATGCCCGAAATCCCAGAGACACACTTGTTGGCTTACATTTGTACAACATTTTAGTCATGTAGATTCAGGGTGTGTTTTGATATGAAGAAAAATGTTATCTTGAAAAATAAGTGGGTTTCTTACTTATTTTCTAGTGTTTGATAAGCAAACAAAAAAAATATTTTCCCTAGAGCATTTATATGTAATATAGCAAAACACCATGAGGGTCCGGGGGTGGGGAATGGGGGTTCGGGGGTGGGATGGTTCAAGGGTGCATTAGTGGGGAGGAAACAATAAACTTAAAATGTCACTTGTGGAATTTGTTTTCCCTACTTGCATTAGAAAAGTCACTTTCCTCAATTTTAAGGAGCTTGTTTCCTTGAGAAATTTTTTTCCAAAACATTTCGACCAACAAAACATGTGAAAATCGACAGAAAATGTTTCCTCCATGCTAAATACACCCTTGATGTCTAATTTTCCTCCTCTTATCTAAAGACCAAGTAGCATATTCTGAGGTTTTAATATGCGATAGTTGCTAAACTTAAAGAGGTTGTTGCAGGAATGACAGAGTGGAAGATTCTCTAGAATGCTACCGAAAAGCTTTCGACATTCTCTATCTGGTAAGAAATTCTTTGATACACTTTTAGTTTGATTCATTCTCCTACTCTAAATTGCTTGTCATTTGCCTTGTCCTGTGTCCTCTCATCTTTTTGTTACATTGCAGAATGATGCATCCATGCATGGAGTACTCAAGCTTGCGACTCATCTCTGTTCAACAGAAAGCGATTGAATTACTTGCATTGCTCCTCGCAAGACTCTGTTTCCTTGCTTGGATTGGCAAACAGCACGAATGACCTCTACTTTCTTACATTCTTATAAGAAATCGTGTCAAGAAAATCTCCATTCAAGATACATAGCAGCACTCCTAATATCGACAACTTCTCAACATTTGTCGTCACCATCAGGCACTACCTCAATCTAGGCATGTTTACTGGCTTCACATGCAGAGAATGGAGAGAAATCTCCGGTTTAGAGTGTAGATTGATTTACCTTGGGAAATAATTCATTTGGGAACTCGTTGTATTGCTCCGTAGCTCATAATGTAGCTTGTTGCAATTCACAATGAAGTGGTGATTCCCTTTATAAGGATTCTTAGAACCATTTTTAACAACATTTAAAGACCACCTATCTTACAAGGTACTGATGATACCTCTAAGCTGCTACAATGACTGGTGTATCTAGTAATTTCTTGTACGTTGTTTATTTCCTTGTTCGAGTATGAACGCGTAATTCCTCTCTTCACTCCCATTTACTCGATTATTGTTTCTCTTTGTGAGTTTTATCTTCCACAAATATTCAGGTTAAGTTGCACTTTATTTTGGCATCATATTATTAGAGCAATGCTTCCTGCATGGAGGGAGACTACTGGGCAGATGATGAGTTGATGATCCAAATAACAAAAAGGAGTAAGTTCCTCATTGTTAAAAATTGGTGAGACATGCTCTTTAGACCCAATTCAATCTTAACATTCTGTCTAATTATCAGTCACGATATGGTTCAAACTCAACTAATTTCGAGTCGCACCTGGTAGGTCCACTAAGATGGAACGCTTCCGACAAAAAGGCAAAAGGAATCTCAACTATCACACCTACATTTTTTTTGTGAGTAATGTAAATCTTTTTCTTATATTTCAAGGGTTGTCCTTGTGATGCCAAGGAAGTGCACATCGAGCCCATATGAAGGATTTGGTTAAGATAAGCTAGAGCCTACAAAGTGCAAATGGAACCTAACCATATACATCGCTTAAACTTTCTTAAACTTCAGGGTGAGTGATGTATGCTTGTTGGCATAGTGGAGTTTTCCTGTTTCATATTCCAGCCTAGTTTATAGGCCATAACAAATGTTCTATTCGATGCACCCCTAAAGTTATTTCATTTTATATGATACTAGAGGAGTTGAGTTGAAGCTTCCAATCTATGTGCACAGGTCAATTTAGTAGGAAAACAGTTCTGTCAATGCTGTATGCTAGACAGCAACAAATACTGTGTACAAAAACCTCTTGACAATGCTTTTGTGTTGTTTGTATTATGATGATCCAACTGATGATGGTCTAGAGACAAATGACAAATTGAGAGCAGTATAAAAGTCATTACTTATTATTTATGTCCTCCCCTCTTTGAGAGAACAGAAAGAGTACTATACTCGTGGACATTTCCATAGTCATTTACACTGGCACATCCCTATATAAGTGAGGAAGAAAACATTAACAAGACCCACTAAGCCAGTTGCAACTTGCAATCATGTATGAAAGAAAGGATATATGGCATTCTCTTCATTCCTAAATTAGATGTAGAAACACAAAAAGAAGGATTAGTGATGTTAAGTTTGTATACTCGGATTTACTAATCATCGCTTACTCTGCTGCTGCTGACGTTGGTAATGCCAAGCTGTTATCAGTCAGTTCTTCCGAGGGTGATTCCGATTCCAGCTGAGTGTAAAAGCTCTTTGTATAGTGGAACTCAATTTGCAGTCTCTGATGAAGTGGCGTAGATGCCATCAACCCTTTCTTCACATCAACTTGTAGTTCCCTAATGGGGATTACGGCCAAAAAAACTCTTAATGTACTCTTTGCAGGCCCCTTTACCTTTGCAAACAAGGCTCGGTTCGTCCTCATTTTCAGGTACTTTATCTCTGAAGGCAACGGTTGATTCTTCCATCTTTTCGTTGGTGTTATTTGAGACAATCTTCCCTTCATTAATAGCCTGCTTCTTATCAGTTTGCTCCTTTTTAGTGCTAGCTGGTTTCTCATCTGATTGTTGACTCGTGTTAGGTAGCTGCAAGATTGTAGTGTCTCTGTCGAATTTGAGGATGAAAGCCTGGTTGCAGCCTTCATACAGTCTCTCACCAAGTGTATCGATGATATAGTATGCATCTCGTTCAACCTTGAGGATGAAGAAGTGGTCATTCCAACTCACAATGTAAACAAAGCACTCGCCATGACTGGGACTGTCTTGAACAGATTTAGTAATCTCATCCCAAATGTTGTCAAAGGACATGGCATCTTTGAGAAAATCGAATCCCTCATCTTCGATTCCTTCCGGATGAAAAAAACCAATGAATGATTTCTCTGGGACTACTGAGAGCTACTTTAGCCTGGACAACTGTGTCGAGGTCAAAATGCTTATCTGGGAAACACTCCCTGTACGTCTTGTTTTCACATAGATTCCTCCACTCTAGTGAACCTTCACGGATAAGATTATCGAGTTGGGACTTGAGAGGCATTTCTTCAGGGTTGGAATGGAACCAATCAGCAATCACAGCAACCAAGGCTGTACAAGCACTTTCACCTGCAGCCCGTTCATTTCGTTGATCAATTGAAGCAAAGAAGACCTCAGTCTGCAGCTTCATCTGCCCATCACGGCTTACTATCTCTTTCTGCTCCCAACAACCAACAGCAAAACTGTCTTCTCCAAACTCGGAGACTGGAAATCCATTCGCAGTTGAACCTTTCTCAGATTTATTCCACTGCAAGCAAGATAGTTATATTAGAGCTATAGAAGTATGCAAGGCAGTGAGGTAAGTTATCAATCTCTGGAAGCTCATTACGAGGTGATAAATAGTATTCCACCATGCAAATTCACTTGGATGCTGGAAAGATATTAGATTAAAAATACGGAAGTAAGAGAAGATGGAGACATACCCCTGAAGAAGACTCATCGGATGAACTAAGCTGTCGGCGATCAAAATCTATATCATCCCCACCTTCCTCTCCATAATGCTTCTTCAACAACGGCTCCCCTTTGGGTTTAGGAGATCTGAAGCTTAGCTTTCTCTTCCTCCAAGGGAGAATTTTGCGTTTTGATCTCTGCTGACCTTTTCCAGTTGCACCCTCGGCATACACACGCCCTGCAACAGATTTGTGATGACTATAAAAGATCAAATCCTCATCTTCACTGCCACTCGTGTTTGTGTAGCATGATCCACCAGCATGCTTCGCATAGGCAAGTGTTTCATAACTGAATGACTTCCGCATACTTGTATCCTCCTTCACTTCATCTGATTCACCTTCCTCCGAATCACCGAGTGAATCTGTATCAACTGGATATACCAAATCAGTATCATCACTTCTGACTGAGTTCCTTCCATCACTGCCCTCCTCTTCATGACATGCCTTCTTTCGTCGCATAGTAGATAATCCCTTGAAAAGTTTCACTTTCTGCAGACCTGCTTTCAAAGCAGAAAGCTCATTTCTGTCTGTCGACAAAACCTCTGCAGGGGAAGGAGATACTGGAGCAGACATGACGAACTTTGGCATCGTTTCTGAGGCTTCGTGAGCATTCCCCAATTCAACAAGATTGAGAGACAACTGCCATAAACAAAATCTACCATATTAACCAAAAATAAGGAAAAAAGGGACTATCGATGTAGATCAAGCAAATTTGTTTTGCTTACACAAAGTCTTCCAAGGGAATGACTATTTCACTTTCTTCTTTTTCCCTAGCTGCTGAAGCAAAGTCTGCAATGTTCAATGATGCAGCAGC